CTTTAGCACACTATCAAATTCAATCCAGCTTCCGAAACGCTTGTTCAGCATAATACTTTGAAACGCCTCGCTGACGTCCACTGAAAACTCACTTGAGAATGAAGCGCTTTAAACAACACGCATTAGTTATTAAAAATTATTCCTTAAAAAAACAACTAAAAGAAGTGCAACAAATATTTAGGACTTACTGTTGAGTTGACATTTCGTCTTAACTTCTTTGATTAACAGAGACTCACAAAAACTCTAGGTATCTATAACTTTTTAAGTTGTCTTATATTTCTTACGTTGCTTTATGGGCCTTATCAACAAATTATATAAAGGTGTTGACGTTTAATACAGCAGTTGGTACCACAGATGAGTTATGAGGGAACAACAGAGCCAACGTGTACACTACAAAACAGAGAATGCTAAATTATTGCTCTTATAAGTCATTTTGTGCTTTTTCATGTAGCAAAAGATGACTTTAATATGGAAAAACTTAGTACTCATACGACCCAACATACCCACGACATTTCAAATACGGAATGATTGCCTCTAGTCAGGCCGTTCAAGATCGTTGAAACCCAACGGCGGACAGATTTGAAGAGGACTACCTTTTTTACCTTGCCTCGCGGACTCATAGCAGTACATCCTGAGTAGGAAAAGTAGAATATACGGTTAACGAGAAAAAAATTACTAAGAGTACGATGATTTAAAAGCTTCTTGATGGTTAGAGACGTAATCGGAATTTTGCAGATTAACCATCTCATAGGTTGATGTAGGTATGTACGTCATATTGTAGCTATGTCTCCTAAAGTCACCTAGCTAACGAGTTGGTCTGCACATTTCAACTGTGCAAGTTCTATTTGTCATGAGTACTACGAATAATTGATCAAGGTACGGAAATACTGCTGAGGATGATACAGGTATTCAGTGTTTGACAACGCTTCTACCAGTAACACCTTCTAATATGCTTTGTTCCCACCGAGAGAAATCAAAAGACAGAGTCGAGGAGATCGGAAGAGTGTATTTGGCGATAACCAATATATCGGGAATCTCTGATCTAATCTGGCTAGTGATTGCGGTTGTTGTTGAGCACAGCGTGACAGCACGTGATCTGGTGCGGATGCATGACCGAGCGCCTTCAGCTAGATGAGTCCACTAAAACATATGGTCAGCATCCAATGTCAAAAACCTATTGAGCTATTTAGTTTGGGGATTTATTTACCGCTACACTGCAGTCACAACACTGGGCCATTGACAATGGTTTAAAGCCGGCGTAACAGTGAGCGTCATGTCGTAAACTCACAGTTCTGATTGCCTAATGGATCACTTGTAAACTGAATGTGAAATTAGGTACGTAAATCAATACAGCTAATATAGTAACCCACAGGGAATGTACTGAACAGTATCTTCAACTAATTAAGCGTTCACAAACCGATAAATTGAGTGCAAACCATGAGAGTGTAGAATTATGGTCTACTATGATATTAGTACTGCTCTAATAATAGATTTAATCCTAAAATTGTAGATTTGTCATCATATAACTGTCTAATCTATTATATCTTACGTGGAAGTCACACCATCGACTACACCAACTCACTGTATCGTATCAATTACCAATACATGATGTAGAACAAGGTCAGGCTAGAGAAAGAACAATATATTTAATATGAATGGAAGATATAAGGTAACATTCAGATGGACCACGCCTGCATGGTCGAGCCATCCGAGCGACTCTAGTTTATTCAGTTCATTATTCGCGCCTTCTCCATCGTTAGGTATTTCTTCGCGTTAAATATTGAATATCTATTTTCCGAGTAATCTCGTATTCAGCTTTGAGGATTGTGTGGTTATGGTTTAATGCCACTACAAGAGCATATGTTTTAATCAAGGGGATAAAACAAAACTAAACATGTAAATAGTTATTAGTCACGTTATTCATCAATTCATTTCTAAATGTTTTTGCTTAAATCGACCATACTACGTGCTTGTCAAATCGTAACAAGGCTTTATGGCGATGTTGATAAACAATTTACGAATAGCATTGATTTGGATATTAGCCATGAAAAATAGGAAAGTTAGCACTGTTATTGACCATATTCAAGTGAGATGGCTGTGAGCTGTTTGGTGGTCGGATGATCCTTAAATCCATCATGTGATCGAATCCGATTTTAGTCAACCTTAGCTTTTCGGGAGCTGGTCGTCGCACTTTCGATAATATAGATCGTTCCGTAGTTGTGATGTCATGTTTAACATCGCTGGTTACACGCTGTAATTTCGGTTGCGTTTGGTACGTTACAGAGCACTAAACGCGTAGTCATTGGTAGTATGGATAAATCGTTTGCTTTACTATGACTGGGGATAATCTACAACCGGATAAAGAAGTTTCACAAACAGATAACTTAGTAATTCCGTCTACTAACCTACGTTTGCACGTGTTGATGAGTAAATAATGATGTTGTAGCAGGCATATACCAGTGATCAGCATAGAAATATCTGCAACAACGAAGATTCAGTGGATGTGTTTTTGTAAACCCACGTAAAGATGAACATTTCGCCAACTGTATGCGGTGATCGGTTTCCCATTTGACGCCTATATGTTAAAATCTGCTTCAAGGAGTCGATAGAATTAAGTGAAAGAACACTAACGTCGGTGTTGACGAGGTAGCCGGCTACGGTTGCCGTTAACGTGTGCTGGCTGGGAAGTTTCCCGAAACGTTTTTCATGTCGGGCAGTACCAGAACTAATCAGTTTTCATCTGTCTCATGTGTTCTAGAGACAGATCGTTTTCGTGAAGTACACTTCTGAAGAGTACGTAAGAGTTTACAGTCACCACAAATATAAAGGCAGCTTGTCAATGCGCCGTAGCGTCACTTCGTGTTTTTTCTACCGAATAGGCCTCAGCGTTTGAAGTTCTGGTGATCGCTAGAATTCAGTCGCAGATGCAGCCAGTTCGTATTTGGCGTTGTTTCGAAATGAGACAAGCACTGACTGCATCAATTTAGGAAGCTTAGACAAAATATGTTGTCTAGACAATCCTTCGTCAAAAGTTCGTTGACCTCTCAGTCACATAAACATGATTGTTGCTGAACCATGTTGTAAGTTTTCGATCATGATAAGTATAGCAATGAACGAGAGAATATATATTCTTTAAAAGTTTATTATAGTCTTTGAAAGACCCAGAAAACATGCTGAAAACTACTCGAGGCAACGGCAAAAATGGTTACAGAAAATTCGAACATGCACACCTGATTGGTTGACATGGTAGCTTGTGAGAAACCTTAGTTTGAATCTCCAAAAGCTCCAACACGAAAAGATTTTGTTCGAAAGAAAAGCGACGAAGACAATAGATCCCTACAGAATACTGAAATTAATTGTATGAAAGTAAGCGAAGTTGGAATCAGCTAGCTCATCGTTTATGTGTAGGGAGTTGATCCCGAGTTGACTTCAGAGGAATATCAGAAATTCCAAGATGAAATATTTGTATCCAGCTATTGTACAGGTCTAGATTTGAGATGGGGACATTCAGAAATTTTGAAATATCTTAAAGCATACAATCCTTATAATTTATTCCGAAATTGTGTCCAATCAACGGATTACTAAACATGCTTATGAGTAGAGTAAATACAAGTAAAACTAAAAACTATTTACAAAACAAGCTTGTCAGTCATATCTCCACAGACTAAAATTGCCCTGAGTTGAGATTTCCACACTCATGAAAGACATCATACTCAAAGATTGGGAATGTAAATATGGCTAAACTACTCCAGCCTGTATTATGCTTAACGAAAAGTGATTTTCATTCAGGTGAATAAATTCCTTGGTTTACAAGTTGAGAAACCCTTCAAATATCGTAAATATGACAATTAAAATTCTCCGAATAGGTGTACTAACTTGGAATTCCCAGAATAATAAGTCAGGTAAAACTAGATGTGCACAAATAGTCTCATTATGTTTGAAATTTGTAATAAACACTTGGACAAGTACAAACGAACCAATATTTAGTACAAATATCACAGTATTGTTTGCCAGGTGGTGAAGTCATCTAGCTCACATGAGTGATTTTTATGACATGAGAGCGTGACCGCAGTGCCTAACGGACAACTGCCTGAGGTCAGACCCACACGACTTTTTTGTAAGTACTTTTCCGTAATTGTTGGGATTTTATCGCCAGAGATGGATATCCATGGGATAAGGTGTGGTGTGTATTTTTAGGGCCGACCTTTTCTAACCCCACCCCTTCTTGTGGGAAGGCAGCACCGCTGTTATGCTGGTTATCTGAAGGAAACACCTTATTGCCGTCACAACTTTGTACAGTCAGTTGTACGAATTTCATCCTCGGACCTTGGGTTTGCTGCTTTTAGTCTTACCGCTCTTCAATCGACCTGTCTGGCATGGTAGGACATCGAGGAACGATTGTTTCAGCCAGTATAGCTCGATTGGTTCGTTACGATAGGTAAGCTCGATCATCAACTTAATGTAGCAGCAACGGTCAGGATAACCAAATGTACTAAAAGTAGTTATAAAGATACATGATGAAATAAATAAAATTGCAGCATTTACGATCGTTAAAAATGCATGCAGACTAGTACTATTTGAAACTGCTAACTATTGCTTTACACAATTAATAGAACAAGCTCATTTCCGATGATAAATTTGACAAACAATAGAAAACCAAGAAGGACGTCGATACTTTCTAATTTGTTAATGAACTTGGAGGACATTATTAAATTTAGGAAAATGAATGGTGCGTTAACGACTTATGAAAGGAATCAACTACATAAAGCAACTAATTAACAGCAGAGAAATTCAATATTACATATAGTTGAGATATCTTCATTCAATTCAGTGCGATAAATTCTAATCAACTATACGTACAACAACAAGTGTTAAGATAAATAATGATGAAATTGAGACAAAATGACAAATAGGGTAAACTGAAAGACAATTAAAAGAAGTCTCTCAGAGAATCAGTTAACTAATAAACTCCATATAAGAGCGAAATAAATCTGTCAAAACTAAGATAATGACAGGGCATTTTTCAAATAATGAGAGATCTCCATCAAGTGCATTGCTTTATTCCCAGCAGCTGTAGCAGCACTAGGTTGTCGACCGGCATATCTAAAATAAAATTAAACACAGTTAGGATTTAATAAAATTAAAATAAAGTTTAATAAAACTAAACGACAACGTAATTGTAACGATTAAAGTGATACAAATAAATAAAACAGCATATCTAATCCGATATAATGCTTGATATATAACCTACATATACGAAAAAGTAAAACTGTGCCTGGTCCACCGAGATGTTCATATACGATTTAATCTGTTCGAATTCAGCTTTACTAATCGATATTTGAGAATTACTAATGTAACAAGATGACTCACAAGTCGTATATATAGTGTTCCGTAAAAATAAGGTTGATTGTACAGCAATAATAATCATGTAAACAGTAGAGCTATGAGATTTTAATCCTTAGTTTTTGCTACATAAGTAACAGTTGTCTGTAAAATAAACGAAAAAGAAAGCTAGAAAATACTATTTAGATGTTTCATAGATATAAAGAAACCGGTTATAAAAGGTTTTCTTGGTTAATATGAGTAAACTGATAGATAACAATATACAAAATCATTGCTGATAGTTTTACAATCAGTTTGGTCATTGTAGATCCATTCGCTCACTTTTGATTGTATGACATATCAAAAAAGTTATACCATTAAGCAGCAAAATGTAACAATATTACGAATATTTGTAAAGATAGTTCATATTTAGCTGTATAAAATATTACTTCTATATATATATATGACCACAAATTAGCATTCTATGAGCAATTTAGACATGAATTTATTCATATTGCAATAAGTTCACTATTGTTTTACTGCCATACAACTAGTGACTTCGCTAAACATTTTTAATATAGAATTTGGAAACAAAGACGTTCACATAGTCTGAAAACTTAGTAAACAAAATTTTATTAATTGTTGTTGCGGAAAACAGAAAAAAAAATGAGTGAAAAAAAAATCATAATTTGAATAGAAGGGAATATGTCAACTTACAAAATTTTATTGTGAAGACGATTAGGCATTGTTCTATATATTAAATGATTAACTCTTGGTTGTACATAACTCCATGGTCCCATATTTTTATGCTCCTCTTGTACCCACTGAATAACAGCATTTGGATAACGTTCTAAATCTTGTTGAATCAAATCATATGGAAAAGGAGTTAATTGTTCTACTCGGCTAATAGCTATATCTGCCTCTCGATTAATCGATCTGCGTTCTTTATCTAATTCATAATAAATCTGAAAAATAAAACGAATATAAACAACATTGCCTCATGAATATTCACTGTAGTAGTGCTTTAAAATGATTTTATTAATGAAATGTGAAATTACGATTTTTCATGTGTAATCATGAAAAGAATTTGACGATGATTAACACCATAAAGTGACGTTGGTTAAAAAATTATTAAAAAGTAGAAAGAATCAGACAGAAGTTTATTTTAATCTCAAATTCTGACTTTTTTTAGAGTAGCACATAACTGAAAAATAAATGAATTGTCCTCTGAATTGTCCTTCTCAATGTTCTAATCACCTGGTCTGTGAATAGATTGCGGTCCTATCTATTTCAAATACAGTCTTCTCACTAACATAAAATTATGTATATATCAACGATTATTATGGGTTTTCTTATTTGACATACAAATGGAATTAATCTTAGAACAGCTAACAACAAAGTTGAAAAACGATATGGTTTTACGAGAAACTATTTAAAATCCTGGTGGTCACAGACAAGTTCAGTCACAAAAAATACTAGGAATAGATACAATTTCATAGATAGAGAAACCTGATGAGAATCAATTCTAAGGAATTACTGATAGTTTTTGACTGAAACGCTGACAATATTCGTCATTCAATATACAAAACTAAAAGTTAGTGAATAATCACAAACGGAAAGTAGACAATTTAGCTTTTTTCCCCCTAAATAATCAAGGAAAATTAAACAAGCATACATCTCATTGATTATAACTTATTTATTTCAATGAGGAAAAAGGACCGGGAAAGATATTTCTTTATGAAGAAGTAGTGATAATGATCGAATGTCATTTTACATAGTAGCATAACTAAATAGATTAATAAAGTCAATGCGGCGCACTAGGTAATGTAAAAATAAAAGTCAATTAAAAGCACATTTCTAGATTGCTGGTTATACCAAACAATGAAATAAAATCTACGCAGAGCTTCAGGCATATACGCGCCGCTCTAAGTTTCTAATGGCACACTAGCAAAGTGGTTAAAGCGTTTGAGTTTCGACTACCAACTTCCGGGCCCGAGCCCCGTTCCACTCAATATAAGTTTGGGTAATCGTTTAGTGCCATTACTCCTCACATTTAGAGTGTGGCTCATATCTAACTAACTGGTAGATGAGTTAAATTATTACCAAGAGATAAATTTAAAAAGATGGAAAGCAAATGAATCAAAATAGTATAGCAAAAATGATGTTAAGAAAAACTGAACATTGAGAATATGGTTTGAAACGACAGAGTTGAAAGATATTTGACGATCAACGAAACCAAACATCTAATCAAGCATTTGGACATTTTATGACTTGAAAGACATTGACACTTATCCAATTAAACTTGCAAATAAAAAATAAGTACTCAGTCCCAAATAAATTGAAACATTATGGATCAACGGTGAAGGATTAACAATTATGAACATGTTTTATATTTTGGAAATCTTGTATAAACCAAGTAACACTACAACATACTTGCAGTTTAGGAGTGATAATAAGATCAATAGAGTGTAGAAAAATATTTTGCATGGCAGAATTGGTAAAGCTCTTAAATAAATATAGAATTATTCTTGCAAAGATAAAAAATAAAACTAATATGTTCGAAAAGTGTTTTGTAAATAAGGAGTCTGGGTATCAATATTCAGTGACGAAAAATTACTGATTTGAAAATAGACGGTGAAGAACCGAACATTCACTTGAATAAGCATTATACACCTATATAATCCAGTAAGTACAACCTGGCTGCGTAATCAGCAAACGATCACTTCGAAACGTAAGACAAATGAGGAAGCAAATACATTTTGTCATGTATCACATTGCACGTAAAATACATGATAAAACTTACTTTGCCGCTGCAGATAATTAATTTTTTCACATTTTCAGGTTTCTGTGAAGCTGGACCAATGTCAGGAATATAGCGTTGGAACTCTGAGCCTGGAAGCATATCACAGAACGGCGATCTTGCATCCGGATGGCGTAATAATGACTTGGGAGTGAAGACAATCAGCTACAACAAAATTGCGCAAGTCACATATGAAGGTTATTAAGAACATAAAAGTGGAAGAATATTGTTGTACAAAATAAAAGCAATGATATTTATCTAACCACCATATTCTTGATTAAGTTATTTTTTATTTTTGGAATATATGAACGGGTTAAATTGATCTATACCACTCAAAGACAACTATTGTTTAGTCAAAGCATTAAGTCAACAACTTGATAAATCATGGTGGAAACATTTGATACACTATGGTCTAATAATCATCTGGAAGTGATATTTTGTAGAATTTACAAATACAAGCTCACTTAGAATGCACGCTCCTTTCTTAATGATGAGAGGATTAACTTCAGAGATTTATTTTTTGTAGTGGTTATTTAGTGATTAGAGGATTAGACTTTCAACCAATAAATTCTAGGTATGATTGCCGCCTTACCTAATTCTGTTTTGACAATCTGGTAGTATCGTCATTGAGATGGTAAGGATTCGAAGTCCAAGTGGATGATTTTTGTAAAGTTTCATCCTCTAGGTTCAGAGAACGAAACTTCACCAAAATCTGTCATACATATAGTGTAGTTCTAAGCCAAGTACACGAATCTTTACTTCGTGAGTTGTGTAATCAATCGGCTTTAAGTCACATTCTAGATGTAGAGGACTAGTGATACTATATTATTATTACCCCGACTGAACGCGGTTTGAATTAGAGGTGATTTAATTATTAGGCTAGTGCTCTTTAAAAGTTGAATGAAGAACTTCACAACGAACCCCAAATCACTTACTGGTTTACGGAACGGTAGCAGAATTTGTCGTCGTAAAATATGGAAGAAATTCGCTGGTGTAGTACAATTTGCAATAATCCAATTTGTATCATGTAACTGTTGCATGACAAAATTATCACTATAAACCTAGAATAAATTTTTTTTTAAATAAAAAAAAACATATTTGATAAGATTAAGGTGTATATTACTGAATTTCTTTCTTTGAGTCGATAAAAATCATTAAAACCTGATTATATTGTATAAAGTATTTGGCTAATGAATATGTTTTGATTGTATACGAGATGATATATTCTACTAGACACTAGTACCAGAAGTAAAAAAAATAAATAAAATTGTCCGTGCTTTAGTGATAAATTGTTAATCAAAACACAAAAACAAGATTAAGGACACACGCACACACTAGCGTAATTATCAAAAAATGTACTCATATAAATGATAACATTAAAATTCTACTAAAAATACAGATAAGCCGATATTTCGTTAGTTTATACAAAAGAAGTATGAAAGAAATTATTTTGCAAAATGATAAGAAAAAAGAATCGCCTGATTATCCAGTTTAACTAACAAAACATTCTTTAAAATGTACAGATTAGCTAGAGAAATAAGTAAGCCACACTTTGTATACTGAACAAGATTATTATATTAATTTCAGTGGTTAAGATCATGAGTCAGTGTGCTTGCGCGCAAAACCAGTAGGTCTTGGGTTCGAATCTCGCAGGGGGTGAGGTTGTGGATGCGCATCGTTGAGGAGTCTCACAATAGGACGAAGCAGCCTTCTAGTGCTTCCAGGTTTTCCATGGTGGTTTGGCTTCAACTGACTCATGATCATAACCATTGAAATTAAGATTATTTTAACATAATCGTTTTTACAACTTTTTCTATAGAAATAAATTTGATTAGATTTTTTTAAAAAAACAAGCAAAGTTGATTTGTGAATGTAAATTTTGAGAATTGATGAGAGATAGTAATTACTATAGTAAATATTCACCGTAAAAAAGGTATTCAAAGTCAAATAGAAAGATTACCCAGAAATAACTCATTTCTAAATAAACGCAGCTACCCATATATAAATTTCATGTTTATTGAATTCAATGATTGAATAACCAAAGAGAGGATTTTCCACCAGATACTGTGATCATCACAGGTGAAGACCCACTTTTTCCATCATATAGATAAATAAAACACATAACAACTTCACAGTTCATTCAAGGTTTAGCTCGCTTTCCAAACACAAATCGATGAAGATATATAGCTAATTGAAGTTACAAACAATTGATATTTATGCGCAAAGGAATTTATCTCCTGTGAATCTGATAATGCCTTGTAAGACGATAGTCCCATAACTTGGTAACTATGTTCAATGCTAGTAATACTAAAGACTAAGCGGCATACAATTAACACCTTCGGCAGCAACTACTTGGAAAAAAATGATTACTAGTTTCAGCGTCAACAGTAAACCATATAAACATAAAAGGAAAATTATTGACAAGAGAGAATGTTGAGGCTTCTAATAAAAAGAATAATACGACGATTTTACCACACCATTAGAGGAATAAATTATGAGATACACAGTTTTTGATGCAGTTTTGTTCTCTGAGCTGGATGGTTTGGTCGTGGAGCTTTCATCATTCTTCTGAACGACATCATCAGCACAAACTTCAGATAGAAGTTTGTGCTGATGATGTCGTTCAGAAGAATGATGAAAGCTCCACGACCAAACCATCCAGCTCAGAGAACAAAACTCCACCAAAATCATCCACCTGAGCTACAAATCTTCTCCACCATCTCGAGATACACAGTCTTTGCAAAAAAACACTAAACAAATGTTACTTTCTACGGTGAAACGATTTTTCTGCATATTATTACTTCGAATAGCACAGACCTGAACTACATTGACTAATCTGTATCGTATTCAAGCGATTATTCTCCTTTCTTTTTTACAATAAAATGCATCTCCACAGACGTCATGAAGGAGAACTTTTATGATCTACTGAACGAATTTTCTATCGTCAAAAATGAAAGATAAGAATACTGATTGACAGATGATATGATTAAATGATGGCTACTAATGAGACTGCATCGTTGACGTAAGTCCTCAAATGATTTGGAATCAACGATAAAACTAGCCTGAAGAATTTCTTCTTGTAAAAAAATAACAAATATATGTACGGAATACTAACTGAATAATAAGTATGATCAAATGACAAACGACTGAACAATTTTGTAGATTCGTCACCCTCCAATGAATTATATCCCAACTGATGGGTTCAATTTCAAGTCCGTCAGAACAAAAAATGTTGCACTAGAATTAATTCGTCCCAAAATGAGATGTATTATAAAAAACACAGTTGTAAACAAAAAAATATGTGATTTTTGATTATAATTATTGACTAATTTAGCAGCGTGTATTTATAGCATTTTAGATGGCTCTTGTTGGGATATTCAGGAAAATATCCCAGAAATTATCCTATTAGCCTGATGCTATTCTTGGACTTGGACATGGTATTATTTTCTTATTGGTCAATACTTATTTAACGTGTCATTTTCCTACTGGCCAATATTGTACAATGTTATTTTCTATTTTATGGTATGATGTGGTTTGTTTGACTGGTATATAAACAAAGTATGTTTGAGATATAATGATTCATATATCCGAGGCTGTGACTTGCGTTCTGGACTCAACTGCTGGGCTAGATAGGGAAGCGGGACCAATCAGAACCCTAGGTCGTTCTACGTGTCTGCGCGTCTTTGGTCCGATCGATAATTCGCTACCCTTTAATCTGCTGCTACTGTCTCACAGATATAACAGCTCTGTGCTTTTGGAACCTAACTAAACAGAGTAGCGGGATAAGTAATCATCCAATTAGAAATGTGACATGTGACTCTCCACTTCCTAGATGATTTTGAGAAACTTCTATTTAGTGCTGAATAAATAAAATGTTTCTAAGCGTTTGAAAGCCTCTCTGGGTTTCTCTCGAAGAATATTCTGGCTCTTTCCAAAATGCAATAAAAATGATTAAAATAAGTCGATAATAACAAGTCCCAAGAGAGAACGTTACTGTTTGAGTGATGAAAAGTGGAATAATGCCTGACTTTTTATAACGACTATGCATATATCATAAATTTGCATACCATTTAAACTGTGGTTAATTTTGATTTGGTTATTTATTTATTCTCTGAAGAAGTGGTTTACACTAAGCCACGAAACGTCAGAAAATCTAATTATTCTACTCATTGGGATATTACAAATATATTCTTTATTTATAAATTTGTATATAATTTATCTCTATACGAATTTATGGACGGAATAATCACTTGCACAAGTCTATACACAAAATTGAGCATTCCAGTTGTTCATTCTATAGGTGTACAACAATCTCCAAATATATTTGCGCGCTAATACACAATACAGTAATACAAAATGATAGCACTATATGAGAACCAGTACAGTGTGTATAAATAAGCGTAGAAAAGTTCTTAATATTCTCACACTGGTTATCTACTAACAACTAAATACCAAAACAGTAGTTTAGGTAGAGAAGAATAAATAAAAAGTTTAGACAGCAGAAATCGTTTGTTATCACAATCCACAACAAGATAGTGTAAAGCAATTAAAATTTATTTCTATTAATTTAACCACATAAATATTGCTAAAAGAAGGCACCAAATACATATGTGCACACTTCATCATTCGACCTGTGTGAAGGCGTGAATACTGCCCGATCGCCAAAACTGAAGCAGGTGGTTTTCTTAGGGAGCCACTCCCCTAGACGAAAGGCTATATTCCCCAACAAAGCCAAAATCAACAATCTATGGAGTTATGGACTAACAACCTTTAGACCTTTCTTAATTTATTCTTATCTAATCTAACCGCTATGTTTACAATAAAAAAAATTATCTAAGGCCATTTCGGGATAAAAACCTCATTCATGATTCAATAAGTCCTCAGTCAGTTTTTCTAAAACAACTTTCTTGATATTTTTATTATGAATCTGAAACTGGACGACTGCTTTTGCACTTAGTACCGTCCAGATATAAATATGGTCTCATCAAAGTACAATCGACATTCAAATATTTGTTTTAGGAGATGCAATTTGCAATTAGTCTTTTATAATAGTTGTTGATGATACGGTAGAATTTAGAAAAGAAAATACGTGTACGCAGAAAATGATTAGCCATATGGACCCATTAAATTTGCTTACCATTGACGGCGACTGAATACAATGATATAAATGGGAAAAGAAAGATAACAGCAAAGTATTAACAAAACAACGTAAATCAACAAAGCGCTAGTAATAAGTGATGGTTCCAGCTTTCTAAATGTCTCACGTCTGCCCAGATGACAGTCAAATACTTTATTCAGCGCTTCCGAAGATAACACGGTCTTCTGATAACACAAGCCGATACACCAGACAATATAATATATCTACTGGCAAACAGCGAACTTCAGTTTAAATGTTTACAACACGAGAGAATGTGATACAATTTAAAATAATGTCGGACAACGTACGGACAACTCACTGAACCATGCAAACGGAAGCAACACACTTGAATGACGATGAATTTTAAGTGCCTCTAGGTTAAGGCATTATATTTCAGGTAGGTTAGAATAAACTGGTAAACACATACCTATCGTATACACCGGATAGTATACAAAAATCGCTCTCTATTAATTTGATGTTGTAAACCAATGTACAAAATGATAAACAATTGTGAATAAGTATCAAACCTATGCGCTGTACAAGTCATAACTAGAAAACAAACATGGGAAACAATATACTTACAGGGACATGATTTTCCTCATCATTACTCATCTGCAAGAATCGTTCGATACGTGCACTAGAATGTTCTGGACCCATACCTTCATAACCATGTGGAAGCAAAAGAACTATTCCTGATTGACGTACCCATTTTTGTTGACCAGAAGAAATAAACTGATCAATTATACATTGAGCAGTGTTGTTAAAATCACCAAACTGAGCTTCCCATATAACGAGAGCTTCAGGGTTTGTCAATGAGTAACCCAACTCAAAACCCATTACTGCATATTCAGATAAACTCGAGTTGCATACAGTGAATGGTGCTTGTGAAGGATAGAGATGGTTAAGCGGAACATATGTTTTCTTATCGACTTCCTGAAAAGAAAAAGTTTAATGTGGTAAGCGTTCTAACATTAGATATACTTTGCAATATATATTGAAATTAGGCACGAATTCCAAAATTTTAGTAGATAAGCCAAGGTAAATTCAGCATACGAAAATGATAGCTTTACAGTGTGCTAACATCAAAATAAATAATTTGTTTAGAAAACTTGTAAGACAACTATGATGAAGTCCATCATCTAGTTAAATATGCTAGTTTGGGGATTAAGACTAGAAAATTGCTGATAAGCACGATTTGAAGAACCATACACGATGTGAAGAAATTAATGGTTTGTTCTTGAATGCAAGATGTAAAAGTGGACTATCTGGGGGATTTAATACAATAAATTGTTCAAAACAACCAAACTTAATATACTGAATATTTGCTAACTATTAAACAGCGTAGTGGAATATTAGGTGGTTAGAATGCGAATTCGAGTAAAAAAATCATTTATCCTATTTCTTAGATCTGTACAGTTTTCATGAAATCGCTGCTGTTCTATCAGATCGGCATTTCAACTACTATTACAGAAACTAATACCAGAAAACTATGCAGCTGACAAAAGAGAGTAGTAGGACAGGTTGTTGCCATCAAAACAGTAAAAATACCTAAAACATTTTCCGGCGACTAGTCACTATTCAGTGATAAATCAGTTGTAAATGTACCTCAGTCTAACAGGTTATTCGCTGAGCAAATAACCTGGTGATAATGTCTCTGACTGTAAAACTGGGTGATACGGGGTCGAATACACTAGGGTGCATCAGTTCCCTTAAGATTACAGGTATACCGTGTTGACGAATCTGAAATGGCACGAAAAATAGGTTTAGGATCTCCTGTCAACTATCAGGTTATAATTAGAAATAGAATATTAAAATCCTATGCAGTGAGATTGTAGTGAATATATATATATATATATATATATATATATATATATATATATATATATATATATATATATTTCACAGATTGAAATCATGAGTCAGTTGAAGCTAGACCACCATTGAAAACCTGGAAGCACTGGACGGCCGTTTCGTCCTAGAATAGGACTCCTCAGCACTGCGCATCCACGACTTCAGGAGACACTTCTGGAGTTCTAGTGAGAAGTCGTTACCAGTGGAGTTCAACCAGCTCTGTTGTAAGATAGGAACTCACTGAAGACAATGGTGTACGGTAGCGCAACTTCGTGGATTGGTTAAAGTTAGACATTAACACCGTTAGATGCCGGCTCAGTGGTCTAATGGTTAAGTGCTCGCGCGCGAAGCCAGTAGGTCCTGGGTTCGAGCCCCGAGTGGTGCGGGGTCGTGGATGCGCACTGTTGAGGAGTCCCATACTAAGACGAAAAGGCCGTCCAGTGCTTCCAGGTTTTCAATGGTGGTCTAGCTTCAACTGACTCATGATTTCAATCTGTGAAAATTTCTAAAAATCTCCACAAAACACTTTCTGATTATAGATATATATATATATATATATATATATATATATATATATATATATATATATATATATATATATATATATATATTTACTATCATTATGTCGGGGCCTTATAATGAATACTAACTTGAAAAAATAAACTGATCTTCGGGCAGTTGGCGAAGACAAAGAGATGTCTAACCTCTCTTGACTATTGGAATTCCTTTCTATTATTGATTTCTACTCTGGTTTTCATAACGTACGTATTGCTTGTAGCCTATAATCTGATTCTCACCTGTTGGTCATATATCTGTGTACAATGCAATCTAGCCTGATGGTCTAATAATCTCAAACCTAGGATACTATTGTATCATACTGTAATTCGTAGTCACCAAATCGTTTCCATTTCCCCGTCATCATAAAATACATTATATTCATATTAAAAATGAACAATATACCTGATCGTGTAAAACACAATGTCGATGTGAAAACGTTCCACGTTCAACATCTTGACCTGATAGTCTAACGTGAACACCCTCTCTTAGCAATGATCCATAAGCGAACAATTCACCAAGAGCCCAATTAGCTGTTTTCTGTTCTAATAAATCTTTGCGCTCCTTGAGTGCACGTTTCAAACCTGGATGAATAATCATACTTTCCGGAGGTTCACTAATTGCATGACCTAAAAAAGAGGATAAATATATTACTATTAAAATCTAATTTAATGAAACATTAAATTCAAGATGGAATAATAATAATATTAAGTAAACTATACAACCACTTTTTGTGCTGCCTTGATTACCTAAATCCAACTTTACTTCCAGATAAGTGATAAGGAAACTATGCCACATTGTTTCACACACATTATATGGGTTAATATTATGCACATTTTAATTAGTCTATGATTATTCTCATGAGTCATTTTTACTATTTCACTTCAGTACTGATTTCTCGATGTATAAATAAATGTTAGCAGTAAATAGTCCGTCTGATGATATTGCATACAACTTTCAAAATACTTGTCTAGCATTGATCATCAAAATGCTATATGTTTAACAGGCCATGTTCGTTTGAAATGGCTTTCTTATTTATTCAACTGAGTGAATACTATTTATTATCTAAATCTACATAAAATTATCCTTCGTCATAAGTTTGGAATATAATGACAACTTTAACCTATATATCTGTGCTGCATTGTTGTATGGTTAGACCATTGACACATCGAGTTCTTCAACCTTAACGATGACCATGCACAACTGGAGACCGTTTTTAGATCAACCATATGGTTCATTACTCATTGAAACGTCTAGTAATTTAGAAGAATCCATGTTTGTATTCTCTTCTTATCAATATGAATTCAAGTTAAATCAATGTCACATAGGTCTAATAAATGCAAATGACTGTAGTGATTATACTTTCAGAATTAATTTAGCGTACTATACTTAAACTAGAGAGTTGTATTGTAAATAAAACAACAAAGCAATATTAGAAGTCTAATATGAAATACATTGGGAACGAGATACATTTAACGTGCACTAACATGCAGATAAACCAAAAACAAAGAGAGCCAAGGAGAATGAATTGTGTGGTATTGTTACGGAGTGAGAGCAGTGATAATTCCAACGGCAATTTCGACACAGAATACCACAGCTTCGTTTTTTCCTAGTGCCAGCTATTCCAAAAGACTTGCCTTTTTCTGCTTTGCTCGACTGTTCCTAATTACTGTCTTCATGTTTTCCTTTCTTGAATCATATCCAGTATTTCCATAGACACCTATTCCTAATGATGATGGTTCTTGAGGCCTAGAACCTCCTGACACATTGAAGTTAGTACTTCTTTGATCCCTTCCCAGTTGTACTCCATAGTGGTTTCTTCTTTTTTCAGTAGATCTTGTAAGGCTTGGAACCAGTTGTTGAGAGTTATCTTGAATTCGATGAGTTTGTCAGTATGTCGAGGGAAGGCTGTATTAAACATTTGTAATACTGTTTCTCTAGTTGTCCAGTGCCTTTTTAGCTTGGCAACCACCAGTTGGTGGTGATGTCAGCTCCTCTCCTGGTTCTCATGATCTTCACTAACCTTCTGAATGTTTCAGTGATGAAAATATGATCAATCTGGTTCTCCGTGGTGTGATTTAGTGAGACCCATGTAACTTTGTGTATGTGTTTGTGGAGGAATTTTGTACCACCCATAACTACTTTGTTGAATGCACATAAATTTGTGAATCCTTTAGCATTTTCATTCCTTTCTCTGGCTCGATGTCGTCCCATGATATCTTCATATTGGGTGTTATCCATTCCGGCTTTAAAGTTTAGATCTCCCATCAGGATGATCAGGTCTTTTACTGAGCACTTCTCTACGATGGACTGTAGCGTCTGATAAAACTGATTCTTATCATCTTCATTGTTATCGTTGGTGGGTGCATAGCACTGGATAACATTCGTTGTGAATCCCTCCTTCGTTTTGAAGGATCCTTTGATGATCCTGGATCCGTGAGATTCCCATCCTATAAGTGCATTACGTTCTTTTGGGTCTTCGTGATTAGAGTACAACAACATCTCTCTCGATTCTATTCTTTTCTGTCCAGCCTTGGTCCAACAGTCAGTCAGTCAATCAGCTACAACGTAGGACCAGGCACATATATGCATCGGTCCAAGTTGCCATAACTTATTAATACGAAAAGATGGACACCGGATTCATAAAAGTAGTTAATTCAGAGGTGGTCCAACAGATTTCACTTAATGCGAGAACCGTCAAGTTGTACCACTTCATTTCCATAACTATTTGGTCAGTCCTCCTATTTCCTATATTGTCCGGACATTTTATTTACCGATATTAATTGTTACTTTGGTTGTTGGAATAGTTAACGACCTCGGCTTTAACAATGAGACGTTATAATTCTTGCAAGTGGAGATTCTTCAACTCCCAGTTCAGAGTTTGAATGGTTTAAATTGTATTTTTCTAATTAGCGTTTTTGGCAGGGTTGTTTACTACGGAGTAGGGTTGCTGCTCCTATCCTCAAACCTCATTCTTTATCCGGGCTTGGCACCGGGATAGAGATAACGAATAAGGTGGAAAATAATGTTATAAACGATAACATTCCAGTAAAATCCCCATGGAAACCTACCAATATGTTCTAAGACATCGTTTTCGACTCCAGTATTAGGTAAATACATGGGATTTTTATTTTCGAAGAAATTATGCCATGGAGAATCAATCCAAGCACGATTCTGTGTAACTGTCCGTTTTTTAGCTAATTCATAAGCATCTTCGCATATCTGATCATATTTAGCCACTTCGTCCTGAAATATAATGTAGGATATAAATGTAATGTTTTCTAATAAATATAGAAAAATTTATGTAGAAATGAATGTTTTATTAAGCTTATTTCTCACTATTGTTAGTGTTCTCATTCTGGGGGGGGTGCATGTTGGTTTATTGGTCAATGATTTACTCTTAAACACAAAATTACCACTTGGGAGTTTCGTACAGATTAATTACATGGTTGAGGAAGTGAACAAGTTTATTAACTGGACAGTACAATAAATTGGTTGTTTTAATAAGGTTAATAAGATTAGTCACGTTATATCAGAACCAGAATAGAGAACCAAATTATACTAGACAATACTTTATTCAACAACGATTACAAGCATACTCAATGAGTTCGGAAGAGAAACCACATATTTAATGGTCAGTAGGTTAAGTGCCTGTCTGTTTATAATCAGTAACCAAGCATCATATTTTACTTTCACTAACACATATCAGAAGAGAACCACATAACCAGATATTATAATATGAACAGAACCATCCCTTTTATGGAAATGAGTAGTACAAAGTAATTTGATGTTTTCTGGAAACATAAGGTGCATCATTACACTATTGTTTAAACCAATATCTGAATTATTCACATTAACTACGATCGGTGATTTATAATTATGTGACTTAATATGAATAATAGGAACAACTTTGTATACAAAATTAAACATTGGTAATAATTAAACTATTCAAATAAATATGTTAAATTGATATTAATTTACCTTAAATTCTTGTTCAGTGACAATTCCACTATCAATTAACTTCTTACTATATTGTTCTAATACAGTTGGTTGTTCACGAATACGTTTATACATAAGTGGTTGAGTAAACATTGGCTCATCCATTTCATTATGACCTGAACGGCGATAACAGACAAGGTCAATTACAACATCTTTTCCGAATTCAGATCGCCATTCAGCAGCAACTTTTGCAACATGCATGACTGATTCAGGATCATCAGCGTTTGCATGAAGAATAAGTGAATTCGTTACTCGAGCAACATCAGTACAATATGGTGATGAACGAGCCATACGAGGGTCAGTGGTAAAACCAATCTGTAAAATATATCCCATTAAAAGAGTAAAAATTTAAAGCATTCATTTTGTCATAATCTAAATTGATAAGTAATGATGTTAACTAGTGACCTATTCTACTACATAGATCATAGAACAAGCCGGACATAGAAAGTTCATAAAAATCATCTTTCCTAAGCAATATATTATCTGTATCTCTTTTAGTTTATTAAATTGGATAATGATGGCGATATATCACGAATTCATTAAATTTGTAAATATAGATCATATAGTTAAAAATTATTGGTTTGCAGATGGTTTACTTATCACAAAAACTGAGTTCAATTTGTATTGGTTCACGATTATGAAGTGCTGAAGAATACCAAATAAAAACGAAACAGCTATTCACTATCACCTTAATTTCTAGTAGTTCTTTAACTGGAATAGTAAAACATGATGAAAACTATCTATAAATTGAACTAAATTAGACAAAACCCTTAACGAAATTTATTAGGTTGTTTGTAATTAGAAAGTATAAATTCCCAAAAGTAAAAAATCACTTTGATTTCAATAAACTACTAATAAGAGAAGAAAATTAATGCATAAATTGAATTAAGTTAGTAATTATTGTAAACCACTTTATTTAATTAATACATTCAGTCGAAAACAATGCAGAACTTCGTACATACGTACATCAGTTCGAGTTGCCAGACCACATTAACACAGAAATGCAGTAGTCGATTCAGATCCCGTAGTGGTAGAGGTAGTAAAAGTATAAGCAGGAATCGGAAAGATTAGGGTTTGAAGATGTTATTCAAAGAGTATAATCCAGCGAAATAAATTTGGAAAGAGAAAAAAAGGACATGAAGAATTCAGATTAGAATTTTGAAAAAAACAGAGTGGATACACCTGCACCATTGCAAACGATTTTGAGCCATGTCATTCAAGGTCTCTAACCATCGGTTGCTATAGTCTCGCTGATCCCAACTAGGTAGACTACACCTAACAATATGGCTCAGTTCACTTGTCAGTGACTTCATGGATTTGTGCCATGTATTGGTCTGGTTGCCCCTAGCTTTATCATAAACTACTGCTATACCATGAAACATCGCACGTCGAGGCAGTCGGTCGTTGGGCATACGTAACACGTGTCCCAGCCATCTCAATTGATGAAGTTTCACTACTTCGTCAATGGATTTGCCATTCTCACCTAGTACACGTTTCCTAACAACTGCATTACTTGCTCGGTGGTCCCAGGATATACAAGCGATGCTTCGAAGACACCTATGATCGAATACTAGTAACCTACGAATATCCTCTACTCTTACCGGCCACGTTTCACTGCCATAAAAATAGGACGGAACGAACTGATGCGCAGTAAACCCGTCCTTTGGTTGGTAGACGGATATCTCGCCTACGCCATAAATGACGCAAGTTGGCAAAAGCTAGTCGAGCCTTCTGTATCCGTGCTGAAATTTTGTCCCATACCAGATCACAAGGACTGATGAAACTCCGTAGATAGGTGAAGTGGTCGACACACTCAACTACTTCACTTCTCATCATTAGTACAGGTGTCGATGCAACCCAATCCTGAAATAACATTTTGCATTTCGAGGGGGAATCGCATCTCGAACATGCTTGCATTGTTGCTCATAGTGGTCAGAATACTCTGAATTTTGTAAGCGTCTTCACTAAATAGAATTATGTCATCAGCACATTCTAAATCAACAAGTGAATCTCCTGGTAAAAGTTCAACTTCTGGAAATTTAGATGAGGAAAGTGTTATCTCTAAAGGCACCTCAAATACAAAGTTAAACAAGAATGGATATAGTGAACAGCCCTGACGAACGCCACTTGAGGTAATCAATTCTGATGACAGTTCGCCATAAGCTCTCACTCGACCAGTTGTGTTCGAGTAGAGAGCCTTTATAAGGTTGATGTACATCTTTGGTACTCCTTTCAGTGAAAAACACTGCCATAGGACCTCACGATCAACAGAGTCAAATGCCGCCTTAAGGTCAAGAAATACTACGATTGTGGAGCGTCTGAATGTGCGTCTGTGTTCTAGGACCTGACGCAGTGTGAATATCTGGTCTATAAAACCACGTACAAGTCGGAAACCAGCCTGGTTTTCTCTAGTCTGCTCTTCACGAGCTTTAGTTAAGCTAATATTTAAGACACCATATTAGTCAAACTGATTCCTCTGTGATTGTCACAAGAGGACTTTTATCCCTTTTTATAGATTGGTACGATCAGCGATTGAGACCAGTCAGATGGAATTACGCCCAGTTCCCTGATTCTAACTAAGACCTCAGTCAATCTCGCTGCTAATACTGGACCACCATCCTTAAAAATCTCGGGGTAAACATGCCAGGGCCTGCTGCTCACCCTCGCTTCAGATTTTCTATAGCTTTTTCAACTTCGTAAAGAGTCGGAACAATTACATTAACTTGCCATTCAGGTCGACTGGAGATCGTGGGAAACCGAAGTGTGGCTGAAGGCTAGTTGAACTGATCAATAAAGTGTTCTGCCCATCGATTCAATCTCCTGGATTGAGAATGAATAACATTTCCGTCTTTTTCTGAGATAGTCTCGCTAATAGCTGGGTTCCTAATACCGGTTTCCTTAACAAGTCTGAACAGTTGTCTGCTGTTACCTATTCCATCTCTCTTACTTTTGCTACCCACCACTGTTCACGATCATTGCGTAGGCTTCTTAACAGTCTGCACTTAAGCTGACTCCACTCTTCGCTATGTTCAGAGCCAGATTGAATGAGTTTTCGAGCATCTATCAGTGCAGTAGATGCTGCTGAGATCCAGTGTTTCTCCGTAACCTTATGGTTTACCGTACTAGCAGACATCACTGCTGTTTCCACAGCTTTTTGGATATCATTCCACGCTCCCTCGGGGTGGGCATCACTTACATAGCTGCATAACTATTTTCCTACTTGTTCCTGAAATATATCCTTAGTTTGGCTATCATTAAGTAGGACCCTAAGGGGCTTCCTTGCAGCGTCTTTCCTATGTTCAGTAAGACGCAGACAAATACGCGCTCGCACTAGAGTATGATCTGAATCTAAGCATGTGCTCCAGAACGAGCGACAGTCTTCTATCGAGTCCCTCCATCGGTGGCTGGTGGCGATGTGATCTATTTGGGTCCAACGTTGGGACGAATTCGGGGGGTCGCCATATCAAAAGATGTTTTTCCTTATGCTTAAAGTTAGTATTTACAAGAAACAGGCAGTTATCTGAGCAAAGCTGCAACAGACGGTCGTCATTAAGTAAATAAAAAGCTGAGAATTTATAATAAATAGTTATACTATAGACAGATAGATGGAGTTGCCATGGGATCACCATTGGGCTCTCTACTGGCTGACATTTTCCTTGCAAAACTAGAAAACGGACCACTTAAAAGCATAATTAGTCATTTACCAACTTATTATCGCTATATAGACGACACCTTCATAGTACTAGAAAAAGAAAATGATAAGGACAATTTACTTAATACATTTAATAACGTTCATCCATCAATTAATTTTACATCAGAAGATGAACAGAACGACAGCATATCATTTCTAGATGTCCAACTAAAAAGAAGAGCAGACGGAACTTTAAAAAGAGGGGTACACAGAAAGTCTACAGCAGGACAATACACTCATTTTCATAGTGAAGTTCCAATCAGATACAGAAGGAACTTGATAAAGATCTTGACACATCGAGTTAGAATGATTTGCTCTGAAGACACCATTCAAGAAGAATTGAATAATATTTGAAACCTACTTAGTATGAATGGGTATCCCATGAAATTCATTGACAAACATATGATGGAGAAGAAAACAAGGACAAAGATACCCACCTTCCATAAGAAGGTACTATTCATAAAACTACTATTCATAAATGACACCATTGAAGAAATCTTGACTCAGAAACTAAGAAGAGTCGTACAAAAAACATTTAATGATGCCAGATTAAATGTCATCTTCTACAACTATCCCAAAATAAGAACAGCCAACAAAGACAGACTGCCTGAATTCGCCAAATCTATGTGTATCTATCGTTTCAACTGCTCCTGTGGAGCCAGTTATATCGGGCGTACAATCCGGCAAGTCCGTCATCGCATTACTGAACATCATCCGTCGTGGTTAAATAAAAGACAGGTAAAAGTGATTAAAAGTTCTATTCTCTCTCACTTGGTTGACACAGGTCATCAAGTCGAATTGAATAAAGCTTTTAAGGTTATCTACAATATCCCATCAAACTTGCCACATGGTTTACGAGTGAGCCTCTTGCACATTGTGGAAGCCATCGTAGTCCATGTTCATAAACCTGACCTTTGCATTCAAAAGAGATTCGTACAACCACTTTCTCTGCCCTGACCATCAGCTTAAGGTTTCCTTCAAAAGAACTATTTTTCATACTTCTTCCACTTGTTTTTTTGTTAACTTTTGTAATTTTGTTTCTGTTGCTTTTGAACTTAATAAATTCTCAACATTCATCTCTTGATTCTTACGTAACTACCATCCTATTGACCATCCGTTAAAATTCTGTTCCTTCTTTGTTTTTTACATTACGCAACGTAGCAACTTCTTCATCACTTTCAATATTAATTATCCTCTTCCGATTAACCAATGTTAATTTAAATGTCATTATGTAATTATTACGTAACATATCTACTCCATGAGTATTATATTATTATTGTAAAACGTATATATATTAGTGTAGAGCCATGAAGAAAAACTAATTCAAAAGAAATTTCTTCGCTCCATTCGTTCCTTCTTAATTTACCAAATAGTTATAAGTTGATCAAGTAAAGTACATTTTTACAAATTTACCCTTGACCTACAAAAAAAGACTGAAATTTGATTTTTTTTTGTTGTTGTTGTCTTGTTTTCAAAATAGAAACAAATTATATTATATGTGAGAAAAAATATAAAAATGAGATGATCTTTCCAGATATTTTAAACAAAAATTCCATTGATTAAACAGGTCAGCAGATTAAATCATGAGTCATTTATAAACAACATACTTAGACTGACTAAACTAATATTATGAAGTAAAAAGTGTTGAATAAATTCAATCAGTTCAGTCAATTTTGATCTTCATAACATTTTATTGATTCCCATTAGTTATAACTACAGAAATTTACCCTAAATATTACCACAATAATAAATCAAATAATTGTTAGACATTAACACTGTTGGATGCCGGTCGGCTCAGTGGTCTAGTTAGTTAAGCGCCCGGAGCGAGACCGATAGGTCCTGGGTTCGAATCTCGCGGGGCGCGGGATCGTGGATGCGTACTGCTGAGGAGTCCCATACTAGGACAAATGGTCGTCCAATGCTTCCAGGTTTTCCATGGTGGTCTAGCTTCAAATGACTCATAATTTCAACCAGTGAAATTGTCAAATGTTTCAATCTACACTTGTCATTATTAAATAGGATGATATATTTAAAGTAATCAATACATTAATCATTACATTAACAGGATACTGAATACTTGATAAAAATTGTGAGAACTACTTCTAAACTTTAGATATTAATTGAAGGAATATTCATCATAATTGAAAAGTGTATATTTACCTACTTTGATAATAGTAAAATAAAGCACTGAAGAAGAACAATGAAACAATAGTGGTAAATCAACAATTTGACTGAAATCTTCTTTAAGATTAAAAAAAAGTAGTGTGAGATGAATCAGACTAGATTTGATGGATCACATAATTAATTAGGTCAGTTAAAATAAGAGTGATGTATTATTACAGATAACTGAAGATAATTTAAAATTGCATTTATCATTAAATAAATTTACCTGATTATTAACGACAATATGAATGGTACCTTTAGTTGTATAAGAAGGTAGATCACTAAGATGAAAAGTTTCATAAACAACACCTTGACCACTGAATGCTGCATCTCCATGAATTAAAATTGACATAACTTTCTTTCCATCAGTATCACCCCTAGAGTATGAAAGAAAAAAACAATGTATATATTGCTAAAGTATCACTTTTTAGAAAAATTGTTATTTCCTATTTACAAGCCAAATAAAAAAAAGAAATAAATACGACTAGAACCTCTATATGTGAAGCGATCTCATGTAAAAACTAAAATTGAACAGCACAAATACTTGGTTTAATAGAAAACGCAACACAAAACAAAATAATGAGATTATAAAATGAACATGAAAAAAATCAATACAGTACTAATAGCAAAAACTCGAAGAGAAAACAATATTCAAATAAGAACAGAATAAATGGAGATTTAATTTGTTTCAAAGATGCCTGCAAGTGTTTTCGTGAACGATTCATGAAAACTATCGTTAACTTCAAGAGTAATCTATATTTGATCAAGTCTCAAATCATAAAGTTGCATGGTCAGTGATCTGAATGTGTTGTGGCTAACTGACGGATCTTAACCTGATAAAGTTAACCTTCATTTTGCAGAGTCACGTCAATAAGCTAGTTACTTTCATACAATCTGAAAATAAATATCCGAATTGTCGTATCACATTCAGATCATAATGATGATGATATTACTATGCAGTATCTTATTTTCTACATCACACAAATAAAAATCGATTTACACATCTCTCATAAAAATAAATTGCAACAAAATGACAGTAAAATCTTACCGATAAAATTGTTCAGCCTTGGTTTTACCTTGAGCGACCGGACAAACAGCTTCTAAGTGACTTGGATTAGCACATACTGAAAGATTAATCATCTTGCCTGTCATATGATTTAATCGTTGATGACTCATGCCTAGGTGATATTTCACATCACCACTACCTTCGTCACAAGCTTCCAATTTAGAGTCGAACTGACAAAATATATCATCCAAAGGTTTACGACAAACGTTGGCTAGAACGTTTAACCTTCCACTGAAAAAAGACCCAGAGTATTGATAAACTAATGAAAATATCTAAACGATTATTCACAACTGTTTACATAAATGCAATAAATCTTGAGAAAAGCATAAAGCAAAAGTTTTATTTTATACGAATATTCATCAAAATTAGGCGCCGAGTATAGAGAAGCCATTATAAGTGAAAATTACATTTGAAATAGTCTCAGCGATCTCAACGTTAGAATTACTTTAAATTTCAATCACCGAGATTATTTCAAATATCATTTTCCCACAAAAGTATTATTTAACAGAAGACAAATACATCATATAACAAATAAGTTAAGGAAAAATGCTACAATTTTACTGGCTTAACTATCAATAATATTGAGAATAGTAAAAAAAGAACAATCAAATATTACCTATGAGATCAACTGTCATAATTGTAATGCAGCTTATGTGGGAGAAACTTCTAGATAAATGAATGCAAGGTTGAAGGAACATAAACAGTGTTTGAAAAATGTTCCAAATCCTCTGTTGATATAAAGAAACTTGAGAATAAGTTTGCGATAGCGTCACATGCGTTGGAAACAGGGCCCAAGATCAATTTTGGGAGGACCAAAATACTTCAGAAAGGTTTTAGCACTCATGAAGTAAGATTGACAGCCGAAGTGCTGTATATATGTGCGAACAAGAACAGCCTGAACAGAAAGGATGGTATTCAGCTAGCAACTACTTGGCAAATATTCGTTAACAAGTAATTAGACCCTTTCTCTATCCAACCTATTTATTTCACATGCATCGTTATTCTAACCGAAATTAATGTGGATTATTTTATCAATACAATTATGTATTTGATGATTTTCATTTTACTGCACATCAATGATTTTTTAACCGTCAAATTGCACTTTTATTTTTCCTTTATATAAAAACATTAACACCGAATATCATTCATTAATAACTCAATCTTACACATACATACACACAATTCATTCAGTCATTTATTTTCACATCGTGAACTTTTCACATGATTCGCATTTATAATTGACTCATGTTATCCTATTTACTAAAGTCAGCATCTAAATATGATTGGATTAGCACATTATAGATTTGATCTGATTTGATTGTTAAAACGTTAGATATTTTTTTGATGATTTTGATTATTACCCTGAAGAAGTTCAGATAAGTTAGCTGGATGAAATGTTGGAATTATTCTAAATTTCAATCGCTGAGATTATTTCAAATATAAGTTTCACACATAAAAGTATTATTCAATAAAAGGCAAATACATTACATTGGTTGAAGTTAGACATTAACACTGTTAGATGCCGGCCGGCTCAGTGGTCTTAAGGTTGAGCGTTGGCGCGCAAGACTGGTAGGTTCTGGGTTCGAATCTCGCGGGGGGTGGGATCGTGAATACGCACTGCCGGGGAGTCCCATACTAGGGACGGAACGGCCGTACAGTGCTTCCAGGTTTTCCATGGTGGCCTAGCTTCCATTGACTCATGATTTCAACCAGTGACAACAAATAAGGAAAAATGCTACAATTGTACTGGCTTAAATATAAATAATATCGAGAATAGTAAAGAGAAAAAATGTATCGACACGTCATAAAGTTCATAAACTTTATAGTGTAATAAGAAAACAAAGATTACCAGAACCATGTCTTCTTATTGCACTATCCAAATTTATCAAGGGGACTAATTGCTTTTAGCTCTTTATAACTTTTTCATAACATTTATAAGTTCATAATCACTTTGACTGTATGAATAAGCTAACATAGGAATACAGATTTGACTGCTATCATATGTTTAGTTACAAACTTGAACGTCTATGGATGATGAAATATATTAAATTAAAACAGATACCTGTATAGTTTAGTTTCCAATATTTGAACTAATGCCATTTGTCCACAATTCCATCCACATTTTACAAATTTATTCATAAATGTTAATTTCATGAGTTTCAAATGGAACACCTCATGGTTAATAAACTTAAGTTGAGATTTGAAATAATTAAAAAGTTAGACAGATATTTTACACTGGTATACAATATTTGTATAAAACCGACAATTAGTTTAAGAACAAAATTCTCATGTATATCCAATAAGTTGCAATAGACTAATAGATTTGAGTATTTACAAGTAACGATTACTAAAAAAATAATCAGTAAGCTAATCATCTTCCTTGTAGATGTATGTTAACAGTATAAATCTCCACCACAATAGAATACATATTAATACTGTAACAGTGAATGCTGAATGGCATAAAATGCTTTTTTTTAAACAACCTTATGAAAACTGAAGTATTCAAGCCAATATGACCTAAATACATAAGTACTGTCACGTAGTCATGAGCATGACACGGTAGTAACTAGTGTGTCGCAATAACCAATAACTAATTATTGTAGTTTAATCAAAACAATGAGAGTAATTCATTTCCTTGATGAGGACCAATAAACAGTAATAACTAATAACATAATTTCCTTGAGAAATATACACGTAATCAGCAGTCTTCAAAGACAATCTAACAAAATAGTAAAAGAACAAGACTAACCGATGTGGTATTCCAATTACAAAACTTTCAACACCAAGCGCAGACGAAGAGTCGATGACAGCTTTCATTGCTGGTATTAAAACTTCACATCCCTCAAGTCCAAAACGTTTTTCTGAACTCCATTTCTTTGCTAAAAATGATTCGAAACGCGTTGAACGAACAAGACGAGCTAATATTAAACGTTTCTCTTCAGATGATAAATCCATTGAACCAGGTGTTTCAAATTTACGTCTTATCCAATCACATTTGTTTAAACTATTAATAAACATATACTCAATACCAATATGTTTGCAGTAAACATTCTGAAATTAATATGAAAATATTTCAAAAATAAAATAAAACTAGTAAAAGAGGAATGATTATCAAAATTCAATATTCGTTAAATTTAAACATTATCTTAAATATATGCTTGAAATGTTAACAGTTCAGTGGTTTAACAGTCCTATCATGATATATCAGAACTAGAAAAAATTAAGAAAATTATTGATAAATGAACTTGTTAATATTTATTTATTTGAACAAATAAATATTGGTACAAGGGAGCGCCAAATATATATGCGCCACACAAAACAATGAGGATGGGAAGAGAAAAAAGAGGGTAAGGTGTATAGGGAAAAAAAGAACAATAACGACCACAGATTAGTGTAAGGTAATGTAATAATAATAATAATAATGGGGGAAACGGAAAGGTATAACCAGAATTCTTTCATATAAGGGAGACACAACCACTTTTTATGAAGAAAGTAAAAGAAGGTTACAGCAGGATCGCCACTGGCTTCTACTCTGAGCCATATCTGTTAACGTCTCTAGCCACTGTGTTGCACCATCTTTCGGATCCCAACCAGGGAGTCATGAAAGACCAACAGAAGCCAGCCCTTTGCGGCTTCCTTTCATACCACGACACCATGTCATACACTGACCACCTCTCCGTTTTATCCAACCAGTCCCAGTGTCGGCAAATAATGCACGACGTAGAATTCTCTAGAACGACATTCGTAGAACATGTCCAAGCCACCGAAGTCGATGTTTCAAGATGGTGACACCAATTGGATTATCGTGTTTCACTTGTTAATATTAATGATTGTAAAAGTCCATATCATTCCCAACAAACTCAAAGCTATATTATTAGACTTACCATAAATAGAAACCAACAATTTTTTCGAATCGTAAACGAATTTTGATTAAATGAACCAAAATTATTTTACATCTACTCAAAAATTCGTTAATCAAGTTTTCAAGTTGGCTTTACGAACTGCCGTCTAATGAGTAACCATTACTTCCACTCATTACTATCATCTACTCGAACGAATTCACTTTTTATCATCTACGTTTACGTCTATATGAGTGAAGAAGCTGCACTAGATCCTTTCTTAACCATGTGGCTTTTATTGTAATTATATGTAACTCGAAAAAGATTCTCGTTTGAACAACAAAGCTTAAGTCTATTAGTTACCGAACTACCAATATATAATAAAAATACCAATCCAGAATTAAAAGTTATGACTCTACATCAAAATAACGTTGTTACCAAAAATTTACCTCTAAACGCCTAATGATTTCTCGTAGAGTAAGTTCCTGCTTATCACCTCCGATATGTGTGGTAGGTGGAAGCCTAAACGTCTTATCCAGGTCGGGCTCGCCTGTAAACAACAAAAGACTGATTAAAATTGGTGACAATTAGGAATAATAATCGTTAAAACATTTACCCAAAAGAAAATAAACAAAATAAACTTCCATTCACAACATGCACCGATATTACAACATCTAGACGAAAGTACAACAAGCTGGCGATTTTAAATATTAGTCTTCACTTCTGAACTCATGAAGTGTATTTTGAAAGTCAAATTAGACCATTTATCGTAAAAAAAAAACAGAATCAGATCCAATGGAGACGACCTACAAAGCCCAAACCGAAACACAAACCTAGATCCCAAAGTTTTGGTATGCATGAACAGTAATAATAAGCTTTCATACAAACAAATTCGGGATGCTTATTTGAATAGTTGGGATTAGGCCGTTGAAATACCTAAAATTACAGTCTTTGTTTGGCATTTATCAGGATGCTGCATCTTTACTGTAAAGAAAAAGCATGCTTTTTATAATATCCGGCGATATTTAAAACAACATGTATGATAATTGTAAACAGTCGAACCGTATGCAATATTATCGTTTTCATTAATAAGAGATCATACGGACACAAAACAACTTTAAACAAATTTACAAGCTAAGACTGAACAACGCTGACCTAACATATCTAACAGACTTACTTTTATCACCTAGGTACCTTTGATAAACAATGTGTCTGGCTATGCCGGGTTCTGGAGACGTAATACCTAAAGGATCTAGATGCGCAGCAAGATGACCACGCATCTAATACATACGAGACACGTGAAAAATCAATATAAAACATGGCAAAAATAAAACTGTTCAAAGATAAATAAAACCACTCTTAAGATCAACCTACCAAGGTTGTAGAAACTCAACGACAACTCGGGGGGTATAGAATCATCCAGATCGGCAGACAATATCCCCAATGGGTCAAGATTGGCGATGCGATGACCTAGAGACTGAATAACCCTTCAAACGTTTAGTCAAGCATCAACACAATATACGATATTTGTGGACTTACCAAAATTGATTTGATCCAGTAAAATCTATCTTACTTCGTTATATTTCACAAAGTATAGGTGAATAGATGAAACCGGATGTTCATAATACTAAAAGGAGTAAAAGCCGTCACCCTAAAGGCTCGAAATGAATTAATGTCTAAAGCGACTATCGTAGCGATCGTCAAGCCTCAACAACAATCCATCTCTACAAGCCATAATATTTACACCTTTTAAAAAAGATTGATTTAGCGATTAGAACAAGTGTTCTGTTTGCTAGGAATCTAAACAAACTATTGTAGCTATCAGAAGAAACATAGGTGATTTCTAAACACTTGTGACTATAGAGCTTTAAGGATCAAATCATCAGTTTTTTCCTAGTTTAATTACAAGGTTATCCACTGACCTGCTTAAATGTGTAGGTAAATATCTGTGTTTTCTTAAACCGAATCCTTCTACTTCCCTTTTTCTGGTTATTCTTAACACTGTCGCACATTTTATCGGATGAGGTTCCCTATATTTCTTCACAAAGCGCGCAGATTGACTGTACATATTTTCTTTGAACAAAAGTAAGGAAACTTAGCCATATGCATACTTTGGGGGGATGGGTGTTAGTTAAGATAGTTTAGTTAGTTAAAAGCAGTAATCTGAAACTGAGGATAACTAGTCTTCTTATCCTACATCATTAACCACGTTTGTAAAAAACGATGATGTAGTGTTTACTTACCTGTTATTTGATTGCTTATCTGTGTTTTATTTATTTGAACACTTGAATATGGTACAAAGGGGCACCGAATACATATGCTGAAAACACGCCACTTGATTTGTATATGGGCTATGATACTGCCCAGGTGCCCAAACTGAAGCAAGTGGTTTTCTTACGGGGCATACCCGGAGCCTTCGACCTAAAGGTTCGATCCACAAGGCAATGGAGCAACGTCAGGAGATGCAGTCCCATGGTAGCCGATGACTGGTAAAGAATGATAGACGTTGAGTAATTCCAATTAGAATTACATAGAAGTTTTGATAGCTTACCAGAGATAATTGAAGGCAGTAACAAAAACAGCTAAATTGGTACTAAAAATTAAGCGTCGTATCGTTCTGGATTCATTTTTGTAAGTCGGACTTCAAAATGTAAAACAAAAAACATTTGCTTCTGTAATGACTTTTGTAATAACACTAGAGGTTTAGGTTTGAAACTCAATAAGGTGACCGTAAATAATACGATTATTGGTGAACTATCATATGCAATGAAAATTTTTTACATACTGCACTTACTGAATGCCAACACAAAACTGTTCGCATTCAGAGAATGTGAGATACTAATCAATCAGCGTAAAAAATATCCTAAATATATACAACAATAAAATATAAGCTACTGGACTCACTTGATACGAACGGATTATGGCCTGAACACAGAGGTGGTCTTCAATAGCTTTAAGACTCGGTGTCACTGCCTGTGCAGTGATTTGCGGGGCTAACTGTGCCAAGTTCAAACCTTCTTTACCCAAAGTAGGTGGTTGAACGTAGGCATTTCCTGGGGTAGCTCCAGAAGCTAAACATTTAAAATAAATGTCCCATGACTAACTGTCACTAATAAGCTTGAATAAATACCTTGTGTACACTATCAGGGTTCCGAAGCCATGCTTCATATATGTCTTCTAAATAATTGGATGAAGTTCCATTTAAGAACGGTTCACTGGAGGTAGGGTTTTGATAGCGTAATGCTGAAGTATATAAACACTTCCGAGTGATGTACTGAAGTCGCAAAGTCTTCAAAGCTCGTAAGGACAGCATACTGCAATGTTGAACTATATACACAGGATAAACGTACAGAATATGAAGATTACGGGCAGAAAAGTGAATATGCACATAAAAGGTTATCCTTTGATTAATAGACGGGAGAGGATGACTTGAGAAGGCAATAAACAGTAAGATGCAAACGCACTTAATCAGTTACAATTCTTAGCACACAAAACGAATGAACAAAAATTGTTGAGTACTGAACCAACCTTCTCAGCTAAACTGCCCAAGCGAACTACCAACTTATTCGAGCTTTAGATCGTGACAATTCCTTTTAACTCGGATGTACCGATTTGATATGTTGTATTTAGTATCCCATGATCTGTATTTCCCAAAATATTTCAAAAGCCTATATATGAGAGACACAGGAGTATGTTTATGCCAGTAGAAATGAAGTTAATTTAAACCAACTAATCTGTTTTCTGAATTTCGAATCATATTTGTGTCAGGGTTACAAACACAGTGACTTAAACTGTTTAGATGGTAAATCCGACTAACCAAATTCACTTGAAAAGTGACCTGTCATGAACATATAACAACAATTTAATGATTTTTACCAGATTTTATGAATGCTACGGGAATAGTCGTCGGGCACAGCCATTAAGCACACTACAGTTTAGGCTGGCAGAACATAACTGAACTTATCACTTTATGCAGCTGGATTTATGCAGTGATACTGATCCCAAAAATAAGTTGTACTCTTACAAAAAGATTCTATCTATCGAAATCCTATCAACTACCAAGGTGCTTGTTCATAAACACATTTTTCAGTGGAGAACATAAGCACAACATCCGGTAATGTTCTACATTTACATTTTATTTAGTTTGTGTTGGAACAGTGTAAGCAAGTCACTGATTAACACAGGTTAACGAATATCCTGTACGACATCACTTCTAGAATGCTATTCAAAATTATGGTAAGTAACGGGGCTGAGTAACTTTCTACATGTTATACATCACTTGAAGAACCTAGACAAAAGAAAAATCTTTTCCTCTCATAAACACAGTGCCAACATTGAAATCTGAGGATTTTAAATGTTCTTACTGATACGTCGAAAATAAGTTAGACTTCAGTCGGCTTACAACTGTAATTCCCAGTGATCAACGTTGATTATAGTTCTACAACTTAGCGTTAAACCCAAAGTTGTAGCGCCTGAAGTCAAGAACTAAGAATAAGCACAGGAAGCCATCGAAAAAGAAAACATATTCCATGTAACTTCAGATACAAATATGTATTGCCTTGACCGTAAAATAGATTTCACTTCTGAAAACATGTGGAACAAAACTCGTTAATATTGATTAAGCTGGTGAAAAAAAATAATGAAATGCTTTTTAACAAGTTTAAGGTATTCTTATATCAGGTACAACTCTATTAGTATCTCAATCACCTCGAAATGATCAGAAATGCCCCACGACCGACAAGGCCGAAAGGTATGTAATTGAAAGACGCGGGTCGTTGTACTGTCTATCGAAACAGTTCAAGTGGTGGTGGGCAAAGTTGAAGTAATTTTCATCAAACGAGTCTAGTAACATTTAATCGCTATTCTCTGCACATATCGGTTTAGGCATATGAAACAAACTTAAAAGAAGTGCTTGTAAATTAGTATTCAGTTTCATTTTGGTAAGGACAGAAGTTTGGGTTGCCTGTTATAACCCACTGATTGGAATCCAGAAGTTCTTCTGAATTTTGCTTGAGCGCGTTGATGGAAGAGGCTCTAATCAGGTTTTGAGAAAATGAGTTCTACTCGTTGATGATTTATCATAAAGTCGATAGTCAGTTGGTAAGCGACTGTTTCTGGTCTTGTGAACTTAGTAGTGGTAAATAAATCCCCAAAACGAAGAGTTCTGTGAGTCCACGACATTTGATGTTGACCACATTAGTTTTATTGGACTCACATGGCTGAGGGCTCACGGTCAGGCATCCACACCAGATCACGAGTGGGTACGCCGTGCTTCACATCTCCTACAAGCGCTAACCAGCTTAGATTGATCATTTCTCGATATGTCGATAGCCTATCAAATATATCTTCGAACATCTTCGCTTATGACTTCCGATCTGACTGGTTTGGCACATTTTGATTACAAAATGTGTTACTGACCAAGGTGTTGTCAAACTCCGAATAGTTGTGGCATCTTTACTTTTCTAGTATGCCTCATAAATTCTCTCTTTGGAAGACAAGAAGACGGATGGCATTTAGGACGAAAGTTCATTATTAACAATAATGTGAACAAGCCAGCTAAAGAGCTGACTAGGTAGGCCATTCACATACTGTTCTTGGAGCTGTATCTTGAAACACTCCACTAAGCAACTTAGAGTTAATGTGTACTCTATGTTTCCGTTCATCTAAAAATCGTTTAGCTATATGAGTATGCCATGCCAAATTTAGATGTCACTCAACATAGATAAAAGCCAGCCGTGTGGAATTTTATAAAAAGCCACACTATGGTCAATGAACACTGGATGTACGGTTAACTTTTAACTTTTATTGACACAGCATCTTCCTCGAGTTACCAACGAGTTCGTGAGACATAAACACCATCCTCTGAAACTGTGTTGCTCTTCTAAATAAATCGTATTTTTATCTAGATACTTAAAGAACTCCTTGCGAATAGTTTTTTCCAGAATCTTGACAACTGTTCCGGTTAAGCTCACGAGAAAACAACTCTATGGTTTACATCTCGTACCTATAGTGAAGGTAGGACTTAACATAGCTCGCTTTCAGTTAATTAGTAATTCATCATGGATTACGAGCAGATAAAAACATACACTTGATGAATCTGCGACAAAGTCTACGAGTTCCTTCAGTCACCCACTTTTAAACAGGGTGACACCAGTTATATCGTGAGGGATGGTTTGTATGAGCGGACCTTAAAATAAGCCAACGTCATACATGACACATGTTATGAACTCAAATATTTTAATCCTTCCTGCTGAAACATTCATCAAACAGCTAGAGGAGAAAAGAATGGAGGCTATAAAATGTATATTGAGACCAAGGGTATCTTCGTGTCTAACTTCTAAGCTGTCTAAGTTTCAGAGTAAGTTAAACCAAGAATTCAAACGCGATTTGGCAAGAATTCTGTGTGTTCATTAAAACCAGTATGACTGATGTCAAAGTCAAATGCTTACATGTTGTTTGCTTTGGAAAATTATGAACAGCGACAAATATATGAGACTTGCAAAGGTGACCCTCTACTGAATTCTGATGATAGCATGATTCAGATTCAAATGGTTCTTTCTAAAACATTCGCTGGTTTTTTATGTCGTTCTTTTACGTACATCCCTAAAGAGTCGCTCACAACCAGTTTTTTATCAGTATTGCAGAAAAAATAAGCGATATGTCAAGTAATAATTATGTAAACTTTAGGATTACAGTAGTAACCATATTTTTTCTCATAATGATGGAGGAGGCATAGCGGCTTTCGTTTCAGCCAGAACTAAAGGTTACCGATTCATAGTAGTTTACTCACAAATGAGAAAGAAGTTCATTGTACGATGCTGTTTCTCTGCATTGTGACATCATGATTAATTGGGGAAAAGGTGAGAAATATGTTAGATGCGTATTTTAAGGCAATACCTTTTTTTACTCTGTCACAGGATACCGAAGAATAGAAAATGTTATTTACAAGCTGGTGGATAAAGGCAAGGTTTAATTTAATGCACCTGACCCAGAGAGGTTCTAACTTCCATTGTTGGCACCCGATGATAATGCTTGTTGCGGGAATTTTGTCAAAGTGAGAGTTCGAATGCGGTTGTCTGTGTATACATACCACCAGTAGATACTTTTGCGGCTCACAATTGACGGCAGACCATGTGGAGTCATCTGTAGAATCTAGACATTCATTTTCAAATTTAAACGCTTGAATATTCGACAGAACGAGGATAAGTTCACTGCCTCCTATTCCAAGTAGTCTGTAAGCTCAAAAGAGAACGTAGTTATCTACGTCCATTTGTGGTCAGACATGAGTGATTGCTGGAATACACTGCACTTACTGAAAATGATCCTATTTCCATACTGGCTGGAGCTAGTGCTCCACAATAAATTTTCTTACTCCTTTTACTCTCATCTCCTTCCTCGTATGGTCTGCTACCTTTCGTAAAAAGTTTGCTTCTATTTAATTAAAAGCAAGACGGTCAGGCTGAAAGTAATGCTTCGTCCCTAGTTTGGTAAAGTCTCCGAAAGGAGGCTGGATCTAGAGAAACTGGGACTGTTCATTATGAGACTGAAACATACGGCCACAGGCCTGACAAACGGCATTAATAGAGGACGCTTATTTATTATCAACCCCAATAAAAAATTTTGGGTGATGATATGTTGAAAAATGGGTGAACAAAAACAATTTACGAAAATCTGATTGAACGAATAAGTTGAAAGGATAGTTCATCTTCATTCCGTGTTAACTACCTTTGACTTAACGCACTTCCCTGGTAAGGCTTCTTTCCAATATGCCGTATACGTACCACGCCGGAAGCGTTGGGTAGTACAGAGCGGTTTCAGTACTCGGTCTAACTTCAATATATTATCTTGTAGAAATGCGACCATAAGATAAAATAGAGCACCTTCTATTTTATTATTAGACACACTACTATTCACGCCGAACATCACAGTTGCAACAATTTAATGAGCATTGTGAGCAGTAAAGTTACTCTCTGTTCAATATCTTATTTATCTAGATAATGTTATTGCATATGCTCAAAAGTTTGAGCAATGTGCTTCCGATATCGTGAGCAAAAACAAAGTATGAGTATGGAATTTTGAAGGTTGCTGAGTTTCAATTGAGATGATGAACGGAACAGTGTTGGACCACCATTCAAAACCAGGAAGCGTTGGATGGCGGTTTCATTCTAACAATTCTATATAGGTAAATTGTTTTTGAAACCAGTATTTGTAGGGACAAGGGTGCAGTACGCACTCGAATTTTTTTTTAAACTATGGTTATATTAGAACCATAATGTTCCTACTATTTCATTATAAAGTAAATCATAACAATTTACATTTAAACAGGTAATTGTGTATTGCTTTTTCTTAGAAGAATAGGTCTATACTTATCATTGTTGAGCACAAAGCGAAATTCAACAAATGCTTACTATGAACATGAAATTTAAGCTTCTCTGATGAGCTAAAGATTGTTGTGAAAAATGAAAACGTGTAGTCAGAAACATATTTGGGGGGATCATCTATCATAATTATTCTGCTACATAAGTCTACTGTAGTCTTTTAACTTAACCGAGTGATGGTTGTACTTTAAAATGTTGATTAAACAAAAGTTGTGAAATAAACAAATAAAGAATTTGAATTCGAGAGCATTTGAGCAGACAAAGTACTTATAATATTTATGTAGTATAATAACTAATATTGGTTAGCAGTAGTATAGATTGCTGATCACTCTTGACTGATTGTTTGAAAAAGAAGGAATCACAGGTAAAATGGTAATAAACCTTAAACAGAAATGCTAAATGTAAGGAATTCAGGGCTAAACATTATTTTAAAATGCGACAAGTTGTGATTAAACAACAGTTCATGTTAATGATAATTATGAGTTCATGAGCAAATCTGAAGCTATATTCATGTAAAAAATAATAATAAAAAAGTATCATATATCATAAAACCAAATAAAGTAGTTTTTAGTGATTTTTAAGTGATAAGTCAAGCAGTTCGTTATCAGGCTCCGTTACATTTTGTGATCAATCACAAATATCTGTTAATCAATAATAAAGAAATACAAATTATAATGCAATTACGGTAATGTCATTCATCACTGATAACGACATATTTAGTTCACTGTATAAAGGAAAACTTCTCATGTAGCTCTCTTAGAGTTATTGCCGATCCCGAACCGAGTAAAGGAAGAAAAATGGGCATGGAGTCGGCAACCATATTCCATAGAAAAAATGTTGTTACAAAAACGACAACCACATTACACAAATTACACTATTCAAACTCTGGCCTCTGAGTTGAAGGAAGAATCATAAAACACCATGATGAAACACGAGATTCTTCGAAAGTCACGATCCCCATACTCCTTCGAACAACCAGAGCAACAATTTTCATAGGTACGTGGAGAGTCCGGACAATGTGATAGACCTGGTGGATAAGTCAAACAGCAACGGAAATGAGGAGATACATCTTGACAGTACTCGGAATCAGCAAAACCCATGGGACTGAAGCTGGACAACAAAGGCTGAATGCGGTAGAGATGCTGCTGTACTCTATTCACAAAGAGGAAAATGCTCCACACACTCAGGCAGTTGCTCTGATACTGTCCAAAGAAACACGTAATTCACTCACAGAATGGGAATCTCACTGATCCAGGATCATCATAGGATCCTTCAGAACGAAGAAGGAGGGAATCACAACGAATGTTATCCAATGTTATGCACACACCAATGTTACCAACGACGATAATATAG